CTGTTGATATAAAGCCCTTTTTCTCTCTTCTCCCCCTTGATGGCCTTGTTCAGTAGGATGATGGCTTCTTCAAAGTGTCCCCCCAGGAAGCACTCCACGGCGAAGTCGTTGTAGGTCAGCAGGAGCTGGCGCTGGGCCTCCAAGTAGACGCGGCTCTGCTCGTTGTGGTCTGTCTTGTCCAGGGCCAGGAGGAAGTCGTCGATGGCGGCATTGTAGTCGTGGAGACGGCGATGAAGAGCACCTCTGTGTGGGGCGGGAGAAAACAACGGGTGTAAATCTAAATGTGGCTGTGTCCAAATCACCTGGCTGTGGCTAGAAGTAATGCATGTGTCTATGGAGATGGGATGCAGCCACAGCAATGGTTCTGACTGACTTCTGGAAGTCAGGCTGACACAGTGGTTCTTGTCCTTGCCTTCCACCTCTGCACCCTGGGTTCAAATTCTACCCAAGCTGACACATTACAATCCCAATCCAACACCAAAGGTTTGCATCAGTCCATCCGTCTAAGCCTGAACAAAACTTCTTTCCAAAGGTTCCCTCAGGATTACAAGATTTGGTTCCAAGAACATTTCCAAAGAACCCTTGCTTTCAGGAGAAATTGAAAAAAAGGAACCTACTAACAAACATTTCTTATCAAAGGAGGGGAAACTTCCATTCCCATGTGCTAGACTTGACTTGTAAGAGTGCACCCTCACATGACAAAGACAAGTAAGCTGAATAGCGCCCTCTACAGTTCATTCGCATGCCCAACAAGTATCCGGTGAAATACAGTGATCAGGCTTTCCTAACCTGAGCAGGTGGTAGTCGGCCACGGCCGGGTTGGTCTCCACTGCCTCCGTGATCTTGTGCACCGCCTCCTTCAATTTCCCTTGCAGCTGCAGGCGGACAGCGTGGTTGCGGTTCTCCTCGGCCCTGGCCTCCAGCTGCCTCATGAGGGCGCTGGCCTCGGCCTGGCCGGGGTCCAGGGCGATGGCGTCCTTCAGGTCATAGTAGCACAGGGACGTCTAGAAGGGCAGAGAATGTATGTGAATGGATAATAAATGCTCCCTGTTGAATAATAAGCATGCATAATTGAATTTTAATCAGTCTTGTCTGCCTTCAGAATGCGAAGTTAATCAAAATAAATGTTTATCCAGTTGGTATTTCTGCCTCTGATTTCTGTCACTGCGAGATACCTGATTGCGGGCAATTAAAACTTTTGCACAGAGTTTTGCAACGCGAGTCTTTTGAAAAATGTAAACAGATGCAATGACCTGTTGGAAGACACCTCAGAGAGTTTCGACAAACGAGCTGCAAACTGTTCCTGAGCAAGCTATTTTGCCTCAATCGCTCCCCTCCTCCAAGAGGCCGATGGTCACGCCGGGGGGATGGAGCCATGTGTTATGCGATCTGTTAAAGGTATCATCGTACAATTTCTGACAGGTCTAATCGTTGGTGTCGCAAGTGTAACATACTTAAGACATTTTGTGCAGTTTTGTAGACCACTATCTATCGGTCAACGTTATTCATTCACTCACGTTCCGGAAGAGCTCATGCAGGCGTGCTCTCATGATGTACAGGTCGGGGTTGTTCTGCTCCACTTCCAGCCGCTTGTTGACCAACGCCAGGCATTCGCCGTGCCTCTGTAAGGCTGCGAGGCACGCCACACTACGACAAAACATTCCGAAATTGTACTCTCAGAATGAAACTTTGGCAAATGCTTGAGAAAAAAATTTAGTCTACTTTTTCGCTCAACAATACTTGTGATGCCTGTTTCATTTACTGCTACAGGCCTTTGGTCTGGCTCCTTTGGTCGGAACTGAAGTTTGCTGGTTCACAAAGGACTAGGAAATGCATGCGTCACGTTGGCGTTGCTATCCACAAAATGAAACCTCCTGACCACGGCTCTTTTCAACCGAAGAGGTGGTGCTTCTGCTTGGGGTGGATGGTGGCCTTTCATGGCAAATGAACTGTTCGGATGAAATGACATAATGCTCCAAAGATGGAGCTATAGACCAAATGAAAAGGGATAACAACGTTTCGCTTGCATAGTCTTCTTCGTCCCCAGTGAGACATTTTTTTACGACATGAGTGTGCGTACGTTGGGCCCTAATTAAAAACTAAGCAGATCATTGAAGAAAACAGTAACCTCAGCCTGAGCAAGCCTGATCTGGTTTGAACAGGTTTGAACTGGTCAAAACCGGTTATCCCGGCTGGTTCCCGGCAGGACTGCAGTGCACGATACATACCTCCTTGTGTGGTAACCAACAATCTCCGGTCTCATCTCAGACGCGCGGGAGAAGGATTCCAGGGCCTCGGCAAACAGGCACTGGTCAAACAACGTCTGCCCCTGTGATCCAAAGAAGGGTGGAAATATGAAAGGATGCCCACAGATTCTAACAACTACAGCCTGGTATCACATAGCTCAGAAAACCTTGCCCAGTAAACATGCACTCTACGTAAAAAATCTCGTTCTATTACCGGCTCGCTGCTGACCAGAGTTAAAGCAAAGAGCACTACAAGTCCTCGGAAACTCTCAGTTCCCAATCTAGTCACAAGCTGTTCTAGGCAACTGTGACATAGGATTCCTTAGTTACTGTATAGCCCGTTGCTACAAATAGCAATTGGTCTCGTGAAAAGACAAGATTTGCTTATGGCCAGACTTTGATGGACTTGTGATGGAACTGACGACAGCGCTGAAGATGGGATACTCGAATAGAAGGTTGCACCTGAACTTCCTGGCTACGGCTTAAAATTACACATGACTCTACTGGAAGTAGCCGTAGCCACGAAATTTAGTCTTGTGTGTAAATTCAAGATGCACCCAAGCTATTAGAGACACGGCTTTAATCTCTCACCTGGAAATAGTACACAAACGCAAGTCGGCTGTAATAGGCGTCGTTGTCCGGGGCCAGCACGCATGCTTTTTTGAAGTTCAAGATGGCCGACTGGAAGTCGCACAACTGCAGGTAGGCCTCCCCCCGCATCAGGTAGTACCGCACCTCCTTGGAGCACAGGTTGATGGCCTTGTCGAAGCAGACGACGGCCTGACCGTATTGCAGCTCAGACAGGCAAACGCAGCCTTTATCAAAGCTGTGGAGCATTATAAGGGAAAGGCATAATAGATTTTGCATGTTACGTGGGATGTTTTGCCTGGAGTAAAATACTGCAGTGCACAGAATGGTCGGTGAAAAATTTGTTTGCAAAAGAGGAAACTATTCTTGAGAGGGTCAGTAATTTAAATACAAACAAAATACAAAGTTTGAAAAGGGGGAGGAGCCTTTAGCTAATTAATATTAGCTAATATCAATCATAATAATGTTATTATATTATATAATATTATAATGATATTAATGAATGAATAAATAATTGACAGATGGATAATGCCAAATTCAGGAAATATCAAGTAGGGTGTTAACAGTGACAACAATTGTGAATTTAAGGGGCTGAAAAGTTTTCTCACAAATAGATATTAGATAATGTGAATCTTGCACTTGGTCCTTTTATCTAAACTGCTCAATGGTAACAAAATAAATTAAAATCTGACTTCCACAATCTGGGAGGTCAAAAATCCTGAAATATGGAAATAAATCACACAAGATCACACCCCTGTTATTAGTGTTTATTAAACAGCATTAGACATGGATCCAAGAGTTCAAAATGGTATCGCAGAGCTAGAGGAAAAACAGGAAAGTCACGAATGCTTCAACACGTGTGTTGTCCCCCACAGTTACAGAGCAAGCATGTAAGAACTCTCAGGTGACAAGACAGAATGAGAACTACTGAAGATACAACTTACTGCTCCCTAGCTCTGCTGCCCACGACGTCCTCCATGGAGTGCTTCTCTTCCAGCCGTGGTGCCCCGAACAGCCCCACGAGCCGCTGTTCCTTGAGCGCTGCGTCGCTGGCAGCTCGCTCCTTCCTCCGCTGTTTGGCCTCCTCGATCTTCTCCTCGCTGACTGCCGTCGGGAAGAGGTCAGCGGCTGCTGTCTCTGCCGACTGAATGTGTCAGTATTTTTTTCAAGTGCAGGGTTAAAAATGACGGCAGTGCTTACTTTCGGGGTCCTTCTACATTTTTGTTTCACTCAGGTTTGCAATTTCTAACAAGGTGTTTATCAGTCGGAGATTCTCAGTCGGAGATTTTTCAGCCTTGAAAAGTCACCATGGGGAGGAGTTTGGCAGTTACAAAATACATGTTATACGGTTGCAGAGTCCTGAAAGTAAGGATTGCCCGTGGAACAGAAGTAAGGGTGCCATATGGACATCGATGAGGGACGTGTGGCCTAGGGGTTAGGGTTTGTAAATTAACTCCCGATCATAGGGTCATAGTTCCAATCCTGCGCTGGGGCATACGCTGTGTCCTTGAGCAAGCCATTTTACCTTCACTTGCCTCTCTCCAGTCAGAGGGTTAATTGTGATTGATTAACCTGGTTAGCACCTGAAATGGTTACACTGATGGTTGTAAATTCCCCAGGGAGTTGAAATGGTTTACAAGAATGCGTTGGGGCCCGGCGAGAGGGAAAAGCTTGGTGTAAAGTGCATTGAGAGTCATTTGGTGCCCAAGAGTGCGGTAAAACTTTCCCATATTGTTGATATTACCACATTATAAATCTGTTTAATTTCTTTCAATTTTTGGAAAAAGGTCACTCTGAAGGGAATTTTAGCCATGAAATTTTTCGGCTTGGCACAGGCTAAAATAACTGACTGCGGCTAGGAGAAACACATGCTGAATGGCTGAGTCACTAGCTAGCAGCTTCCATGCGTGTTTCTCTGAGCCGTAGCCAACATTTCGGACACAGCCAGAGTTTCAACAGCAGAGGGTTCCTATTTGTGAGGGGTAACAAACATACCTCCTTCTCCTCTGGCAATTCTTCGCCTGCGCCGTCCGCTGCGGTTTCACCTTCGACCGTGGATGCGGTTTCTCCCTTGCCTGCTTCTGGCATCCTGGTCTCGTCATCTCCTGCATCTCGGGTTGAGTCCCCTGCCTCCTCGTCTCCTTCTTCCACCTCGTAATCCTTGGCACTCTTCCTGCCCATCAGGTCATCGGCAAAGGTCACGCTCTTGGTGCTGTCCCCTCGGCTGACTGTCCTCCGTTCCTGCCGGAGGGCCGAGTCGCCCCGGACTGAGAACAGGGGCGTCTGGGCGTACTCGTAGTCTGGTGTCCTGAAGTCCTTCTTCTCGTCATACGTGAACTCGGTGCTGCCGGACGCCTCGGTCTGGGGCCTGTCTGGATGGGTCCTGCTGGGAGGGTGTGGGGTGGTCAGCCTGGACTGAAGGCCCAGATCTCCTTTGGTGTTGACGGAAATCCCTGTTTCGGGTGTCCCGGGCTTGCTCGGGGTCACCGAGTTGCTAGTCTCTTTCACAACCTCTGACACGCTAATCCGCCTGTCCAATTCTGGGGTGGGAATGGACACGGGAGGGCACTTTTCATCCACTCCTTGCGCAGTGCCGTTTTCCTGCTCAGCTTCGGTTGGGTCAGATGCGGGTACAGCAACAGGGAGACTGGTGCTGTTGGAGTGTTCTATAACACCTTCTTCCAGAGCAGCTTGATTGCTGGAGTTGAGCTGTGTTTGGCTGGCATCATTCCTTTGAATACTTGCATTGTTTGCAACATCGGCTTCAACATTCAACCGGACTGTCCACCTTATTCTCCCGTTGTTCCCCACATCTTCCACAACAGGAGACGAATTATCAAGACTCTTCTCAGTTCTCTCTGGGCTGGCTGACCCCTCGTGTTCAACCTCCCCCTCTTCTACAGTGGTACCATCCTGATCCCCTTCAGTGGGACAGTCAGTCCTTACAGTAGGTGAGTCTAACTTAGAAGAGTCCATTTGATTTGGAGGGCTACTCCTTTGCTCCTGTTCAGAGGACTGACTGCTGCCGTTGTTTTCAGGTGTCACTGTGTCTTTGTCACTGGGTTTCTCCCCAGTTTTTGATGACACCTTATCATCAGGATCTGTCAAAGTTTGTACTTGATCTTCCAGGCCGGGGGAGGTGTTCACCTGATCAACTGTTTCTTCCGGTAAATTTTCTACTTTCGAAGGCACAGGGTTTGAATGTGAAGTTTCAGTGGTAGCCTCTTCCTGACTACCTCCTGACATCTTTTCTGAGCCCTCCATGCTGCGGGAGAAGCTAAAACATAAACAAGACAATGAAGTCTCAGAATCTCAGATTCCTGACTGGGCATCGCCGTTAGGCATCATCATCACATGTGACTACACACCCGTGCAATGCAAACATGCTCTCAAGAGCAACGGGAAAGAGTTCCACATACGAACGCCAGTAATTATTCCCTTTAGTGACCTATTAGCCATCCGGAAAGCAAAAACATGCCCAGAAATTTTGGGAGGGAAAATACCAAATTGTTTATTTAGAAAACAAAATGAGAGATTAACAAACATGGGGAGAAACAACTTGTATCATCTACTTTTCGTATTGAGACCATTTGTTTAAAGAAGAAAGACCTGTTACGCCCCAACTATAACATCAGTCCCAACTATAGTTGGGCCGGCCCAACTACAGCAAAGAGGTCCAGTGTGTACGTATCCAGCAACAGCATGTCCCAACTACAGCACAGACATCCAGTGTGCATGTGTCAGCATGTGCCAAAGTCATAGTCATTGTTTACGGTGTCATGTCATAGATGAAGTGCCATATTTTAGATGAATTGTGTGAAGTGTAAGATGCATAAACTTGACAAAAGGTTTAGTCTCAGTATTCTTGGACCCTACAAATCGCCTTTTTTAAATATTTGGACATGGTTTGGCGATAGTAGGGTCCACGTACCTTCTATAGGCTTTGGCTTTTCCCCTTCAAATCGAATACAGTCTCATCGACGAATTCAATGTTGATGTCCTGTTGATGACGTTATGGCACGTCGGCCTAGCGGACCATTCACAGAAAGCATGCTGTGTTGGCACACGCGTGTTGACGACTGTTTGCTGAGCGGTTCAAAGTTTGGCGGCTATGTTCAAATTGAAACTGTACAATGTGATGTGGTCAGTGTGACCCCCAGCGCGCCGCAGCCGACTGCCATTTCTACCAGCGCGGCTAAGAATTACACACACATGTATGGAAAGTGGCTGCAGCCAATTTCCATGTCTTGTGTATCGATCGCAGCCATAGTGGACCATTTGTTTATGGCTCATCTTTGCAAGTACACATGTGAACCGCATGACACTGATCAGCTGATCAGGAAATATTTGCACCTTTTTTTGGAAAACACCATGGTTTTGGCCCGTTTTTTCCTTGGTTCTCAAAACAAAGGTACACGTATGTAAGCTAACTTACATAGAACTCTTGGGGGAAATGGAACAGCATTTCTATGGGCACACAACTAGAACAGAACCCATGTTCGTGCCATGTTAAACATCATGTCGAGCCTATGGCGAAAATGCCCCTTTTCTGTGGTGTTTGTGGGAGCGGAGGGGACGTCGGACACAACAGCTATGGGGGTATTCCAGGGGTCGTTTTTTAGAGTGGCAGGGTATTCTACAATTACTCCCTGTAATTTAAAAAAAAAGGCTGTATAGCATGTTTAGAGGTGAATTCGGAGGATTTTGACTCGGGGTAGGAGATATTTTGAGTGAAATGAATGAATGGAAGTAAAAGCCTATGGAAGGTACTTGAAAGGCGATCTGTAGGGTCCAAAATAGTGGTTAGGCCTAACGTTACTCGGTCATGCCAGTCATGCCAGTCGGACTAGCCAAGAACAATACGTGGGCCAGCACTACAGTTGGGACTGCCCCAACTGTAGTTTTGACAGACGCTATGGTTGGGGCGTAACAGATCAAATAGGGCCTATAATTACTCACCACTGTTACTTTGGCGAAATCTCTTACATGTCTTAACAAAATTTCAGTGCGATACTGGAAGTCGCCATGTTTACGTGGATTTCCAATGGTAACAATAAACAGCGCCCTCTACATTTTCACTTCTCGCTTATTAAGGGGCGTGGTTGCTGAAAAGCATGATGCAAGACGCAGAAAGTCATCCAGTCATTTCCCAATCAACTGAACAAAACGCTTCCTGCACAGCAAATGGCATGTGAGAGTTACTGACATGACTTTTAGTAGTAGGAAAATCAATTGGGGATATAGCTCAGTGGTAGAGCATTCGACTGCAGATCGAGAGGTCCCCGGTTCAAATCCGGGTGTCCCCTTCCAAATATTTATGTGGAGTATTTTTGATGACCCGTGCGAATAGCCATAGAAAACAAATGCACGCTATAACAAGGCGAGATGCAGTCCTATATTGACTTTTTTTTGACTATATTGCCCGGTTTTTAAATTCAAACTAATGAAGATGGTGACTGAGTGTTATTAAAATTGGGTGTGATGAATACGACATAAATGATTTTTTGACAGATGAAGGCGTGTTGTATCGAAGCATTTCTTAAAACTGAAATAGGCCTATATTGCGCTGATGACGTCAATCTTTATCTACATGTGCACTTTCCTTCGAATCCAGTAGGGAACCAACGGTCCACCGAGCACCATAGCTAAGCACACACGTGAAGAAAGTGTACGTGACATCATCAGTACGGAGGTCTTGTTGAAAGTCACCCCTTAACCCCTGCCCACCTCCCGAGTGTCAACCTCATTGGCTCCGTCGGGGGTACTGATACGGTGGGGGGAGGGGAATTGCCTGCCCCCTCCCCCAGATACAAATTTGCCTTTTCTTTGGGAATAAAGCATCGCAGTATAGAAATGATACCGTTACTTTTCAATCTTCAAGGGGTCAGGAATCTTTCGGAATAAAATATATGTATTGGTCAAGCGATCATTAGAATAAATCCATTAAAAAAAAGCTCTGGATGTGCCGTTGCTACCGTCAGTACCAGTCCAGTAAAGCAAAAAATTCACTCCACAATACCAGGGACAGCAGTCTGTTGACCAAACGATGAGGGCCTGCGTTCTGTCTCAGAGTTACAGTTGAAGTATTGGACACAATTTTTTTTTTTTTTGTAAATGGTCGGGTTGAAGTTTTAAAGTTTACCTCTCATGGGTCCAGGTTGACCCACTTTATATTTGCCGGCTGCAGAGTGCAGTGCCGAAGTAAGCCTAAAGATTTTAATAAAAGGTGGCCGGTGCGTTGAATGACAGCCGTGGGGGGGGGGTGAATGCGTGCAGCTAGCTGGGCCTTTATGAGCATATGTTGCCTCAATTCTCGTCCCGTTTACAACTACCAAAATCGGGCTATGGAAACAAATAGAGCGCGAAATAGTCGATTTGGAATACTTTTGTAATAAATTATTCAGTGCTTTTATCGCCTGTTTTATTATCCCGAAATGAAAGCGCCAACACTTCAAAAACGGTACTACATATGCATGTATTCTCCGCCAATTCTTTTAAATTAAGCACGACAAATCCCCGTTTTCCACCCCTGACTTATTTCGTGCACACATTCATTGAATCAGTAAAATACTTGGAGTTTTGGGTAAGGTTAACATTTTCTAACCGACCATAAGTTCGTTTAAATTCAACATTTTTAAACGAAACTACAGCAGCTCCCATCAATGGACTCGAAGCCTGGAATGTCAACTCGGCGAGAATAGATTTATTTCTAAAATAACTATACATGTGCTCATCCATTCCGTAATTTTATGTTTAAAACTCAATTTGGAGTCATCTCAAAAATAACAAAATAATTACACGCTGTACACGGTCTTTTATGTGAAAGTAACTATAAATAGAACCGGGACGGACCCAGAAGCAATTTTAGGGGGTCCAAACGTGTTTCCGGAGGGGTCTAAAGGTTTGATTTTTTTTCATTTAACCTTTTACGGCTTCTCTTAGCGATTAATTAAGCTACATCTTGTGGCTTTTTAAACACTTTGGAAGGGAAATTAACTAACTCAAAAATTACCTTTCACTTAGTATTAATTTAAAAAGTGGCTTTTTTTTTGCGGAGGGGCAAAGCCCTCAGGCCATCGCCTCCGATCCCCCTGGACCCGCTCTTAAACAGAACTGGATAAAAATGGACGGAACCTTAATTGGGAAAACACTGGCAACACAGCAACTTTAACACTAAAAAGCTGCCTAAAGACGTTCTCTCAACAAGGATATTCAAAAAATCTATGAAAAAATGGTTACCTGTTTAAATATATGTACAGCTCAATCTAACAGGTCTATTATGTTCAAATATTCAATTTTGGCATAGTTTGTATTGTGAATGTTTAAGAGTAAATCTGAAAATGTTGCCAAACTTTTATCCACAGTTGGTGCATCAAAGTCCAGCTGAAAGTGTGAACAGAATCTCCTTCACACTTTTTAAGAACTCAATCTTTTGCCATGCTTATGAAATTCCTAAAAAAAAAAAAAGTAACAATAGAAATATCAATAGACAGCGCCCTCTACAATTTCCTTCTAGTTTATTGGGGCGTGGTTGCTGAAGAAGTGTAGGGGATGCTCTGCTGGAATTTCTAGGCATAATTTTGAAAACCCAGTACGAGAATTTAAAAGTCTTTAATAACTTTGATAGGCAAAGATTGAAGCTCAATAATTCCAAAGAATTTATGAGAAGACCTAGATGATTGTTACTTCAAAAACCTGGTTTCTCATGGGCTAATAACATACGGATACATGTACATGTAAAACAAGTAATGTCAATAATTTTTTTTTAAGTACGGGAAGCTAGATTAGAGCCGAAGACCTTTTTATTTGTAGTCGAAGATACGTCCCCTTGAAAGAAAGTTGAAATAACTCGTGGTACATGTATATTACACTTGGATTGTCACTGACTACATGTAAAAAGCAAGTCACATATCCCTATATCAACAAAACGCTTCATGCACAATGATTGTCAGCAAATGGCATGTGAGAGTTACTAATCCAACTTTTGATGCTAATTAATCAGTTGGGGATATAGCTCAGTGGTAGAGCATTCGACTGCAGATCGAGAGGTCCCCGGTTCAAATCCGGGTGTCCCCTTCGTCAATATTTTTGCTGAGCCGTACTAATAGCCACAGAACGAACAAAGACACTAAAACAAGACAAGATGTTAAGAAGGCTTTAATTTTTTCCTCCCACCTAGTGGGTTCTAGTTGTGGATTCGTGGGCACTAGAATACCGCTCATGTAAATTTGGAGTTGAATACTTCGTACAGGTGCTGTAGGATTGGAGAGCACTCATGTACTTTTGTGCAGAGCATCAATTACGTATCACAACCTTTAACCAGTGGAGGGATCAGAAATAATAAAATTGGGCGTGATGAATACGACATACTGAATGAGATTTTGACAGATTACTGAAATGTAACCTAACTTTGTTAAGTGTCACGTTGTTGTATCAAAAATAGGCCTAGTACGTACTGCATGATGACATCAATGTTTGTTTAACAGAGCCGGCCGTGGCCGGCCCACGTACGGTCCACCGAGTACCACAGGAAAGCACACGTGAACGAAATGTTACATCATCCGGTCAAGTTGGATAGACGTACACGTTGGAAAGTCACCCGTTAACCCCTGACCCATACTGGCACCCCTGAGTGTCACTTGAACCATGAACCTCATTGACGGGGCTCGGTGGGGGGCCTCCGTTGGGTGGGAGGAGAATTGCTCACCTCCTGCTCCAGATACGCATTTTGCCTCTTCTTTAGGACTTAAGCATCGCAGTATTTATGATATCATCACTTTTCGATCTTTGGGGCAAGTAATTTTTTCGGAATAAAAATGAATATATTGGTCAATCGATCATATTTAGAAAACGAATCCGTAACAACAGCGACCAGGGAGGACAGATTAGACGACTAGGACCTACATTCCGTAGTAATGGTCCCTGACACGGTTAAACTAACAAGGTTTCGGACACAATTTTCGTAAACGGCCAGGTTGAATTTTTCCAGTTTTTCTCTCCAAGATCTAGGACCCACTTTCTAATTTTTGCTGGCTGCAGTGCAGTGTCGACGCATGTCACGGTTTTATTCCTCCATAGTCGAAGTGACTCGAGCCCGAGGGTTCGGTATCAAGTGCCAGCCCAGTGTGTGTGTGTGTGGGGGGGGGCGCAAAGCCAGGGGTTTTGTTTGCACGTTGCCTAATCATAATTCTCGGCCTGTTCACACTAGAAACCGGGCTATGAAAAAAATTCAGAGCAAAATAGCCGACTTGGAATACTTTCATAACAAATTATTGAGTGCTTTTACCGGCCATTTTATTTAATTGAGAGAGCCAACACTTAGCATTCTGGGTAAGGTTAGTATTTTTTTTTTTACCGACCATAAGTTCTTTCAAATTCAACATTTTAAACGGAACTACAAGTACATGTAACTCTTAATAATGGACTCCAAGCTTGGAAGGACAACTCGGCGAGAATACATTTATTTTCTGAAAAAAAAAATTATACATGTGCTCATCATTTCCATAATTTAATGATTAAAAATTTATTCGGACCTATTGTCATCCTGGAAAATGAAATAATTATGCAATGCATACAGTTTTTTTCCTGCCAAAGTTAAACAGAACCAGGAACATTCCGGGTCCACACGTGTTTCAGGTGGGTTACAAATTTGGATTTTTTTTCATGAAACTTTTTACAGCCTTTCATGAGCGGCGAGGCTGCATGTGCGTTTCTAAAACACTTTTGGAAGGGTAAGTAACCAAAAATAGCCATTCACTGGACCCGCCCTTAAACAAAACAGGGTTTAAAGAATTGGAGGAATCTCAATCGGAAAATTCTGGCAACACAGCAACTTTAGCCCTAAAAAAAGCTGCCTAGAAATGTACTCTCAAAAAGCCAATATTAAAAGACAAAATCTATGAAAAATGGTTAACCATATAAATATATGTACAGCTCAATTTATTTAAGATAATGTTCAAATATTCAGTTTGGGCATAGTTTGTATTTTGGATGTGTATGAGTACGAGTTACCCTGGAAATGTTGCCAAAATATTATTCATTTTTTGGTTCATCAAAATCTGGCTGAAAGTGTAAACAGAATTCCACTCAAACTGTTTAAGAGTTCAATCTTTATAAATTCCTCATTCACAATTGCTAACAAATGTGATGACATTTTTTTAAAAGGTGCACTTTTGATTTAATGACGGGGGAACAAAGTTCAATGCGGAAGAAGCAAAAAGGCTGGAAAAGGAATCAAATGAAGAACTGACCAACAGGTACACTGTACATTTAAAACCCAAACCTGGTGTCCTTTGGCGTTAACGTGTTATTTTTGTCAGCAAAGCAACACAAACAGACTTTTTCTAAAATGCATGTGGCAACGCTGTCAAACACTGCAATGTGAATTCAATGTCAAACCTGGTAAAACAGAAAAAACTGTTTTTACGAAAGGCTGAAATTGGCTGGGTGCTATATAGCATCAAGTTTTCAATATCTGAGTGCAACACTTATTCACTGACGCAAATCCCCCCCCCCCACACTGAAAAAAACAGGCCATGTCAGAGCTGTTTACAGAGAGAGTAGCACCCGTTTCAGATTTAGGAGACAAAATGGCTGTTCATTTTGTGTAGAGTAGAGCCAACTGCACTATACACCTGCCGGTTTGTTTCCAACAATAGAGGGCCTGTTTATTTCCCACGGCTCTGGATCATAACCAGTAATCTCAATGCTGATTCACCATTTAGGCGGGTCCTGGTGTCAGTGAACCAATGTCAGGAATCCGCGTGAAACAAACAACAGGCCCCGGTGATACTTGTGTCTTAACTCTCTGTACACGGCTTTGGGCCAGGGGGACCGCAATTTTTTCAAGGCCCATGGCCATTACGCCATCTTCACTGAAAAGGCCGTCTGCATTCAGCAGTCAGTTATACCCATGCCCAAATCAGAGATCTGTCCTTCAGTGTCATTAACGGGGTCTGCATCTCCTGCAGGGGTTTCTTTCACCTCCCGAGGAATTTCGTGACTGTTAATGCCTGTATTCTGATCATTTTCAGCATTATGACATTCCGCTGGACTTGAGCAGTTGTCCTCTTGGACTTGCTCACGTCCCCAGTCAACACCACGGTCTGAATCAAGCAATGTTTTCCCCTCGTCTTTGGACATATCTGTCGTGTCCAGCCTCTCTACCACTTGGGTGTTCGGTGGGACATCGTCATCTTTATCCGCATCCTCCTGGTGCTCGGTGGTGATCCCTGCGTCTTGCCCGTCTGGTATGGGGTCTGAATCTGGAAGTCCAGGTGCATCATGGGATCCCTCGTTGTCGTCAGTTTCCCGCCCTGTATCATTTGCCACGGGAGACCCTGTGGGTAAAACTGTTTCCGAATCCCCTGCTACCTCTGCGGCACTGTTTTGCTCCGTCTGTGAACTTGTCCTTGGACTTGAATCCTTGTCCATTTGAACCTCGGGTGTTTCCTTCGCCAGTCCAGCTTCACGCAACGAGTTGCCACCACCAGTCTCCAACAAACCAGCAGCAATCTCACCTCCTGTGTCTGGGTCGGGACCTGCTGCTCCGTCCTTTTTGGTAACATCACAGGTGGTCATCAGATGGTCATTTTCCGAACAAGGCAGTACACCACCAGCAGATTGATGTGTCTGACCCTCAATCTCAGGTTTGGTTTCCTGTGTTCCGGTCTCGTTTATCTCACTGCCAACAGCTTCTTTTGCATCCTCACATTTGGAAACACCCTCCTGATTTATATTACTCTCATTTTCTTTGACGTTCTCACTTTTCTGGGCACTTTCCTCTACCTTACTTTTAACACCTATAATGTCCTCACTTTTAGAAGCATCCTCTCCTATCTTACTTTCAGTATCTTCTTTAGTGTCCTCTCTCATGAAGGCACCCTTTTCTGTCTTACTTTCAGCATCTCCCTTGATGTCCTCAGTTTTGCGTGGACCTTCCTCAACACTGTCTTTAAGGTCCTCACTAGGAGAAGCAGCCTCCTTCATTTTGCCCCAACCGACATCCACCTCTTCCTCTTCATCTTCCTCCTCTCCCTCTTCCACAAGTGGCGTCAGCGACGTCATTCCACTCTTGCTCATGTCGTTGACAGCAAACTCAAATTCGTTCTTCAGCTCCTGTGGCTCGGGGGACGGAGGCGGGGCCGTGGGAGTGGCCAGGTTGACTGCCTGGCAAGGCGCTGCATCTCGAGGCTTCTCCGGGGATGTCATGAAGTCCCGCTCGTCGACCACAGGCCAGGGTTCTGGGGTGGCTGTGGAGGGTTGAGGAGTCAGGGGTGGCACTGGGGACCGGCCTGCACCCTCAGAGAGTGCGCCCGTGGTGATGCTGGTGCAGTTGCCCCAGGGGGTTGAGACGGGAGTCACGCCGTGCTTCATTGGGGACGTCGGGAGGCTAGTGTCCATGGCTGATGTCCCTGGATAGGAGGTGGGGAGCTCGCTGTGAACTTCTCGGATGGTACCCAGGGCATCTGCATTCAAGGGGTCAGCTGGTGCCGAGGTGGGGTTGATCTCCCTATGCGGGGTACCGGCTGCTTGCTTGGTCGGGCTTGGCGAGCGACCAGGTCTGTGTTGGCTGGCCGACAATGGCTTATAAGGCTGGTGGATGTTGGTCGCAGGGGTACCCAGGGGAGCCTTGGGCACACCAGTGGACAGGGATGGAGACACAGCATGGAGGGGATGCTGCAAAATGCACAAAAAACCAACACCAATTTAAGTCTCTTATTTTGAAATGAATGAATGAGTACAAAGTAACAGAGAATCTGCTAAAAATGCATTTGCTTTGGCAGAGAAGATTGCGATTCTGAAGATGGCTTTGTTTTGTTTCAAACTAAAATCTTCCATCATAGCGGTGCATTTTGCTCATAAAACTACTTTTATATTTTGCACACTACTACAGTATCCGAGAGTGCTCCTGCTTTGCAAGTTAGCATTACAGAAAGAGCATATTTTAGTCTAGTTCATTTCACAAGGCGATGTAGGGATGCCGCAGGTGCAATAGAAAAAAAGAGAGGACTGCAATAAGTGAAAAATAAGTGCATTCTAATTTTGCCATGCAAATTGCAAAAGGTTAACTGCTACACCGCTCACATATGGCACATGGCTAACAAGTCTGCAGATTAGTATGAGTTGGTGTTGGGGGAGGAAAACTGAATTGGAGATATTAATTAACCACCTGCTGCCGGGGAACCCATTTCGGGCACATAGGCTTAAATACACGAAACCGGGGAGCCCAAAACCAGACAAAAGAGCTGGGCTTTGTAACAAAAGACTGTACTCGGAACAAAAGACCGAGCTGCTGGAAATTACCAACATTTTTTTCAGTTGTCAATATAGCAGAGGAAATCTGTCCTTTTTTGGAGAGATTATATCACTGTTTGTGGCATTCAGCACGAGCGGATTACCACTGGGACAAGTGCTCCAGTGCTGAGCGATACCTACCGCTGTACGCTAATCTGGACCCCATTGAAAAGACGCCATTAGCGTACAGTGCCAGTTTGGGGAACAAAAGAAAGTTACATAACACTACACAATCTTGGCTCATTTTACAAGGCGGCATCCCTGGCTGAAATACTCGAGCATCAATCGATGTTATCTGTCAGATTAGAGCAGTCACCAGACAGTTATTCATGTGGGTGTAAACATCCAGTAAATGAAGCTGTGATTTTTTAAAGAATTTTGAAAATGGAAAATCTTGAAAATCTCACGGGTTTACGTCATGCAACTTCAAATTCCACCTGGCAGCAAGTGGTTAACTATAAATGCTCTATATCTTGGGATTCAGCAAGAGTATATTGAAATGAGTGTGAATACAGAAGAAAAACTCAAGTATGAGTTCACGACTTGAAACAGAGACTAGCATGAAGAATTTCCTAGGAATATTGATACATTATGGTTGTCAATGTTGAAGATATCATCAGTGATGCAATAGATAAGAGAGGTTAGTAGCAATTAAGTAAATTGTGCTGCACTGAGCTTGGCAGGAATGATGAGTCTGCCCGTCCTTTCTCCCAGTCATATGGTCAAGACCTCTTAAGACCATCACAAGACCAAGACGTGACCTCCAGGCTGAATTTCAGTCACAAGCTATTCAAATGAACTGGAGAAAAAAACATTTCGTTGTCACTGTTCACCCTGTTGCTTGTGACTGGTCTTGTAACTGGTCTTGTGACTAGTCTTGTGACTGGTCTTGTGACTGGTCTCGTGACTGGTCTCCAGAATGGTCTTGTGCATGGTCGTGTGATGCCTCAACTACAACACTGCTTTTTATCCTACATGAGCAGAACTCCTTGCTTTGAAAGTCAGAAATTAATGTCAGAGGGATTAGTAAATTGAGCAAACAAAGGTTTCTATTCATCCAGCAAGTGACTCTCTGCAAGCTATTAATAATTTGTTAGTTTTACCTCATTGTCAAACCAAAATAATTCAGGCTGCATGCGTGGAAGGATTGGGGGAAAAAAACGGTGATTAATGGTACAATTCAAACAGTTGGAAACCCACTGCCAGACCAGCGTCTCAAAAGGTTGATTTATACAAAGAAAATAGAAGTCAGGCATTTATATTATTATAAAACTGCACAGGTATTGATCAGATGAACATTGGTAAGAGATAAAGATATTTCCAAAGACTGCCATTTCTTGAGTAAAGACATTTGCGTGATTCATTACAAAAGTGAATCTGTTGCACAGTTGTCATGCCATTTCCGGCTCTGCCGAACGGTCAGTCCATATTGTGCAATAGGAACGGAGGCGCTTTTCAAAAGATGTTTTCAGTATTGTGTGTGTGTCCGCTTGGGCAAAATGCAAGGTTTGTCTACAGAGCAACTTGAAACCAATAACACTCAGAAACTGCCGCAGATATGTAACTCACTGAAAAACGCAAGTAGGAAATGATGGCTTAATGCAGGGGCCCACATGGCCACATTTTAAATTAATTCATAATGGCAAATTGTATTTACAACCAAAGTAATTTTGTTTCTTGAATTAAGGTATGAAGTCTTCCCAGACTGTTCAGCGCCAAGTAAGTCATGATCACTGTTCAACGTAACTTTGGCAAATAGGCTAATTAATTTTGTTTCTTGGCAAGGAGGATCGAGATATTCGTCACAATCAGTATCAAGTTAGTCAAGATTACCCCGCAACTGAATCGTAGCAAAGGCAAAGTTGATTAATGACAAAGGTATTCCTCTTTGATTTGACTTGCGACTTGGCTGCACCTTTGTCAAAGGTGACAAGAGAGAGAAAAAAAAAATGAACCCCCACTCACAAAGTCCTCGCTGGCAATCGGCGAGGGTGTGTCATGCAGGTACTGGTTGGCGAACCTCTCGGCATGGCCGGGGCCCGACACCCGCCCGTAGGGCTGCAAGGGCGTGGTCATCTCGGTCCGGTCGGGTGACAGGACGGAGGGCAGGGTCACGTACAGGGTGGAAGCCTTTGCGGAGCGGGGCGTGGAGGGTTTCTCCGGCGAATGGTGGTCAGGGCTGGGTAATGGTCCTAAATAGGAAGCGGGGAAAAAACAGGAGTCACATGAACAATCACAACCTTACAATAAAGGTGTGTCCAAACTTAATGACAATAGCTTATAATAACAGGTGCACCTATAAAAGCCATAAGGTAATGGCTGTGGCCATTTCCTGTCGACATATCATGCCCCTGCTACCCACAGCCACAATGTTTTACACAGCCGCAACTGAAGACGTTAAAAGGCAGGCTTGTGATTTTCGAAAGGAAATTGGCTTAGGCAGGAAAAAAGGACCACATGTCCTTCATGTTGCCTCGTTTAACAACTTTTTCAAACTATTTAAGGCTACGAAAAAGTATCCGTGCTGATATCACAAATCCAAAGAACAATTTAAAACCTGTGATAACTAAAACATAACATTTTTCCACTTGGCCAAATAATCAAGTTGAGTGTGTCAAAGATAATAAAATGCAAATAGCTCAATACTTGCTAACAAGACAGATACATGGATCAATGTACCAGACATGTAAGGCAGGTGCATGTTGCCCACATGAATCAATCACTTATCGCTGAAAAAGTAGTAAAAATATCATGCTTTAAGGTAAAGGACATTTGTCTCTATGGAGAAGGAGATCACATTCGACTTACCCAGAGTCAGATCCAGTGACTTGGTGCCTTTGTAGTCAAATGGTTTGGTGGGTTTTGCACCTGGGACCAGTGGTGGAAGACTCTTGGTGGAAACAGAGGTGAGCTTGTTCCGGATCTGTGGACTTTCAGGCACTGCGCCAACAACTTTCCGGCCAACTCCAACTTTTAGAGGGGAAGGGGGGAAAGAAAAGACACCGCAGACATATTCAAAATCCTGGCTGGTGGTACCGGTGAGTAGGCCAACGAGGCACAAGGGGGGCTCAGTCTGAAGGTCTGTGTTTGCAGGGGCAGCTGCCAGGTTGGACTGTCCAGCTTATTACCCCTGTCTCCAGCGGCAGAAGTAAGGGTGGGAATTTACGTTCAATTTGAAAAACATTTTAGAAAACTTTCCCATACTGTTTAATTCACCCTTAATGCAATACGATTGAAAACTATAAACACAACAAACTGTATGCAATGTAAATGGTGGACACAAAGTTATTGTGGCTCTTGGCCGCATATTAGAGACACTGATGAGCTTATGCATCATCAAGAGTCGCGATCTTCGGTCAACAAATAATTCAATGAGTGTGTGGTTAGAGAAGAACTCTTGATGTTGGTCTTACCACTGATGGGACCCAAAGGCCGTTGGTGGGCCATCCGACCGGACGGCTTCACCTCCTCCTCACTAGCCACACCCCCCTCCCCTTCCTCCATCGGCAGCTGCTGAGCGAGGCCACTATAAGTGGAGGCGGTCATGGCCGCGACCAGGCCGTCGTCCAGGTAGAACGGGTTCCGCTGGCAGCCGGCTGCCGTCCCCGCCTGGGGCTGGGCTCCGTGCCGCCCGGCTCCACCGCCCCCCTGCGGCGTGAGCAGGCTCATCTTCTTGTTCTGCAGGATGCCGCTGGCCAGCAGCGGGGTTGGGGAGAGGGACCGGTGCTGGGGCTGGTTGGCATCGAAGTGGATGAGGGGCATGAGTCGCGACAGCAGCAGCTGCACTTTCTGCTTGTCCAGGGAATCACTGCCAGAATACAGAAAAAGGTCTCACAATTTAAATCTAATCAGTAGATTGCATTCATGTGTCAGCCATCTTGAAATGAAAAGTGAGGTAAACCTTTCATATTGAGAGCCTGACAGTACAAGTAGCAGCAACGAAATAAAAGTTCACACATATTAAAGCCAGTTTTTGTTTAGAATAATTTAAAATTTGTGATAAATTATATCAATTATATCAAGCCTCATTAACAAAACCGAAAGTGAGGTTTGGAACCCAACATAGTCTGGCACCACCTTACATTAAACAGATGAAATGTAAATTTATTACATTTGTGAAAATGATCAGCTGTGTGACATAGGGCACAGACTATTTCCATTCACCTTCACTTCCCCATTTCATTTGTATTTGTTTTGTATTTGTGCAGTCTGGATACAATGCCCATTTATAAATTTTTCTTTATTCTTTGTCCTTCACTCCTAATAGGAAGGCGTTAAATTTAAAACACGTTAAAAATTCCTTTCACATTTTGTTTTTGTAATTCTGTTAAAGCGATCGACAAGCTTTGCTTCTTGTGAGTTCCCTTGTGCTATTTTTATTTTTGTCTCCTGAAATCCACACAAAACTTGAATAGTTAATCTCTTTTTTTTTTTTAAGGCCAATTTAACACCAGCAAGTTTGAGTCCTGTTGTAAGTACTTGGTGCCATCACCTTTGATTCATCTTCATCTGAAGCAAGAACTCTTTGAGACATGAGCACAGATAATCTGCCTGCCCAATTTGGAGAAAATACCACAACAAAGGCTTGGATGTTTTGTTTCATTTTCATTTGATTTCACTTGGTTTTGTGGTGATTAAATTATTGAGCAGATAGCATAAATTATTTTGATTGTATGCAGTCAACCTTTGTTCCTCGTCTAACCTGTTTCGAATGTGCACCAACACGTCCATCAGGATATCCCTGGGTAGAGTCAGAAGCTGGGCAATACTGGGCAAAATACAACACAGATCATACGCGTGAAAAGATATTGATTAAAAAATGCTCACAGAAGTTGATTGAACACTTTCCAAATACCAGTGACAATTTATGGACAGACCACAGCGCCAGGCCATCTGAGTGAGAAGGTGACCTAACCTCATGCAAGGGCCTAACTCGGGTGTAATTTCTGAGGGGCACCCGGGGATGCAAACATTTTGAAAAGGGGGCACTGAAGGCACCTTAACTGTGACCTGTGCATAGGCTTTCAAAGTTTCAAATGGGGGAGGGGGGCACAGGCTTCTGCTGCCCTCAGTCCTCGACAGTTAAGCCACAGTTTTCATTGAACTGCTATTGCTAAACACATTGCTAAGCAAATTCTCTCGCTGAGCGGAAGTAAGCGGGGAAACAGGTCCTAAGTAATATACTTGGCATGGGACTTTGGGTGGTAACCTGTCCCTTAGCTATGTCTACATAGCTAAGGTGCTTAGGCAGATTTCTGATGAGCGCGGGTGAAGGCATCTGTAGTATTTGTCTCACCTTTCGTCCATGTCAGCCGGCTGGGCTCTCCGGGTAGCTGGTGGTGATCTACTGGGATGGGTGTACGGCCGGCCTCCGGTTGGGGTGATCCTAGAGGGCTTCTTCTTCTGCAAATTTGAATATTTAAAAACAAACTCATTCAGTCTATGGTATGGTTGGCAAGGCTGTTGAGAAATGGACGCATTATTCAGGGAAATTTCCTGTAAGGGTTGAGATAATTTCAGTAATGAGGAAAGGCATTTATGCAGAATTGTGGAAGGAGCATTTTTCGACCTTATGCAGAAGAGAGTTTAAAAAGCTTATGCTCTTATGGTTGCAATCAATCAGAAATTACAAAGCTGTGCATTTTGAAATGCAGTTTAAAGCAGTTGGCTTGCATAGTTTTTCAGGTGAAACAGAGTACGGTTCCTATTACAGCGTAACTTGATAAACACTTTAAATAATTTCTATCCTTTACGGCGACAGCGAGAATGGTGAATTCACAACACCAAGGAAACTTGGATATTTACCATTTTCTTTGTCCGTTTGGTCTTGTCCTTTGGGGCTTCGGGAACCATGAGGTCTGTCATGTCCTTCAAAGTGACTGGCTTTGACGAGTCATTCTGGTCATTTCTGTGAGAGATGTATACCAGACCAAGAACTTTGTAATTCATAAAATGAGGGTTCACGATACATGTATGTTTATACAGGCAGTTCATTCAGGGACAGTAATTTTATTTGAAATGCAGAATACAGAACTCTTGAAGAAATGTCTAGATAAAAATTTAATTTTATGGACATCCACAGTTCAGCAAACAATGCCCACTGCTTTCAAGTCACTTTTTTTTATGAAATAAGTTTTGGGCAAAAAAAAGCCAGCTACTCACGTAGCAGGAGTCTGGCTCCCCTCTTTCCTCAGCTGTCTCTCATAGGCCTTCTTGGAAGGGCACCAGACGTAGACACGGGAGGGGACGAACGTCTTCTGCCAGTCGCTGCTGAGCTCGTCCATGTCAAAGAGCTCCCTCACCTCCACCGACTTGGCTTTGGCGGGCTGACGCCCCTGCAATGGGGAGGGCAGGGATTGAGCACTGGTTGACCGCACCCCCATGGGGGACGTGTAAGGGGTGTACGGGAACTTTTGCTGTGGCCTGCCGACGACACAAAAATGGAAATCATGCAGAGGTTACAAATACACGTACCGGGACATCAGTGTCACTTAGATTTACGTCTCAAGGGCTTGCACGACTACAGAAACATAATGAGCAAAATAAGAAATTGTTCAAGGGGGCTTGCTTCATAACAGTAAGTTGAATTCCACAATTCTAACCCAACGTAACAAGATGAGTTGGGGGTTGGCAAAATCATGCTTCCGAGTTGAAGATCTTTCCGGGAATCTGCACAGGGAAAATCAATAGATACCCTCAACATTCTTCCCTCGCATATGCTGATTATACCGACCTGTTGTCAAGATCTACAGCTGGTGCAGAGGAGCTGCGGTGATGCGATGGCTGCTGTGCTGGGGTGTAGTCATCTCTCCCGCCAAGGCCAGACTCGGCCAAGAGATTTTGAACTTTGAGGGTTGGCAAAGCACCTGAAAAAAAAAATAACGCGTCATTAAAGAAAAAAAAGAAAATGAGGTCACAACTCTCAAGGTGTAAACACTCCCTCCAAGCAAATGTTGGATGAAGTCGAAGCCTCGATCCATGCTTATAGCATTTTTGTCAATGTGTAGGGTTTTGCTGAGAATGAATAGCCCAACGTCTCTTGGATCATCTGCCCTCCAAGATCCTTCAAAATCCATCTGGAGTTCGAAGGGATTCTTAAGGAACGAGGAAGGTATCTCAGTGCAACATTGAAATAGAACTTTCTTGCCCCCCCCCAAAAAGTGTGCTGTACGGTCTTTACACGGTCAATTGGTCACTCTGCAGGTCTGCTCAATGACGCTGCACTCTCGATTGAACCTGTAGGGAATCTCATACTTAATTTTGAATTTCTCAAACTATGGGATTGCCTTTATGGTAAAGCACTGACAAATTGTGCTGTAAGATCGATTAATCGTGTAATATGAACCAATCATGCAGGCTGACCGACTTGCATCCACCAATGCATGTTGGAGGATTCAGAATAGCTGTAAACAATTATCCCCGAGTTAAGGTCGCAGTATCCCAACAAAAAACACATTTGTTTTAGGGCCGGCGACCATTTAGACCCGGTTTGAAAAGGGCCCCCCCATTAGCCCACCCTGTATAATGCCTGCCCGGTATTGAGGCTGCTCCAGGCC